TCTTCCAGTGAGTGCAGGAGGGGTCTCTCTATCTCCTCTTGTTACCCAGTGGTGTGTGGGAGCCAGGAATTCAATGTGCGAAGCTCTGGATGGTCTTGCCTCTCCTGGTAGTCTCCTCACTCTGAAGGAATTAGGCCTCCATAGGGGTCAGGTGGGGGGGGGGACGGGAAGGAAGAGTGTGGTGTTTCCAGGCTCAGGGAGTTCCTCACTGCCTGGGCAGGTCTACTCCAAGCAGGAGCAGGCCCAGGGAGATAGGGGTGGATGGGGCTTTGGAAGGGAGTTGGGTAAGAGCAGAGGATCACTCACCTCGTTGCAGAACGGTCAGCGGTAGGGAAGGAAGAGTGGCCTGTTCCCAGATTCAGGGAGCTCCTCCCTGCCTGGGCATGTCTACTCCAAGCAGGCACAAGCCCGGGGAGATCTGGGTGAATGATGCTTTGGACGGGAGTTGGGTAAGAGCAGTGGGTCACTCACCTCATTGCGGATCGGTTGGCCTGACTATACATTTTTCCAATAACTTTTTTTGTTTAACCTTTTTAAATCTGAGGACTATAAATTTCTCTTTCCAAACTGTATCACTCAGTGCCAGTGGACAAAGGAATCCTTGATGAGTCCCCTTTGTTCTTGGGTGACATGCCCCAAACCCACCAAGGATAGTATTGAGCCCAATGTATGATGTGTTTTTTTCCATGCATTCATACACATGTATCCATTATGCAGTTTAATTTACAAATTAAGCACACTGTGAAGTTAAAAAACATTGACAGTGAAACAACACAGTATAGTAAACATCTGTGCTTTGGGAACAAAGTTTATGAAAATTTGGGTTACTTACAAACAAGTATTGTGATTCAGTGATAGCCAGTCTACTGTCTGAGTTGGCTACTAAGTGACTTGTACGTGGGCAGCATATACATGGGAGGACAAATACTGGACAAAAGGTAACTCATGTTTCAGGTGGGGTGGAGCAGATTGGTGAAGGATTTCATAGGCTGCTGAACCGAGAATGGCATGAAAGTCAGTGTTACTATTTATTGACAGAATTTTCCACTTAATGAATGAATCTTTGCAGATTATGAGTAACTGAAGCCTCAGACACTGAAACTACAAGTGAAGAGGGATGACTTGAGTCATGAAAAGCTTCTTTGTAATGCAGAGCTTGGACAAGTCTGTTTTAACCAGTTTCAAGGTTTGGCTGCACATAGAAAGGCCCAGACAGCTTATAAAAACCATCTCCAGATGACACTGTATCCCAGTTACATCACAAGCCCGGGATGGAATCACGGGCCTTGGGATGAGAGCTGTGTAGCAAAAATTTTTGAATTCTAAGGGTAGCTAACATTAGTAGCCACTAGAGTAATAGTTCCTAGACCTAAACATAGATTAGAACCACCTGGGGGAGATTTCTGATGTTCTGATGCCCGGGGCCTCTCTAGAATGCTCCTGAGTCCATGTGTGCTGGAGTTGGGAAGAAAGCCTCAGGAGGGCAGCTGTCAGGTTCATCAAAGGCTGAAGATCTCTGCCATAGACTTTGGGTTCTGTAGAATGTCTGCAAATATTCTGACTTGCTTGAAAAGGTGTCTGGAATAGTTATCATTCCTTCTTTGAATATGGAAGCATGGAGACTAGACAGACAACAGTTAGTAGTCAAGAATGAAGCTCAGGTCTTTGGGCCCTTTCCCTCCATGCTGTAGCTGCCACACCGCGACAAAAGCTTTTTTTCTGCAAGTTGAGTTACATTTCAAATATACTGGGATTCTCTGTGACAGTCCCTTCCCATATTTTAAAAGAAACATCTTAGACAAACCATACAATTACCCCTAATCTTGATTCATCAATCTTAACCCTTGCATATTTGGTGATTTATCTGTGAAACAGTCTCCAATGACAGCAGTGGGCCTGAGGGCCTTTCACTGATTCTGAGAAGGGAGTGAGGTGGAGAGAATTGCTGTGTGGGCTGCAGGTGGAAACCATCATCTGATTAGTTTTAAAATATGTATTTATTTATTTATTTATTTGAAATAGTGGCTCATTCTGCTGTCCAAGCCGACCTAGAACTCATTTTTGTTTTTTGTTTTTGCTTTGTCTGGCTTAAATCTGTTTTTGAGAATTTCAGACATGAGTACTGTTTTTTTTTTTTAAATATAATTTCCATTCTGCACTCTTTTTATCTGTTGATTCCTCCTGTCTCCCCAATTCCCTTTCATGATCTTTTTTACTTTAATTATTATTGTTACACACACACACACACACACACACACACACACACACACACCCAAGTCCATTTAGTGTTGCTCATACCAATTTATGGTTGGTCACTTGGGATTGCATAACCTATCAGGGGATGGTCCCTGGAGAAGACTGATCTGTCAGTAGCCATTGATTGCCTGTAGTTCTTCATCTAGGCGTGGAACTTTGTGAGATTTCTTCCATCCACACTGGCCTGCTAACTGGTGCCATCATGTAGGCTATGTTTAGGGACATTGTTGGGATTTTATGGGTGCAGCTCCCACAGCAGACTCTGCTTCTTGGTCTTTCTGCTCCCTCTTTTCAGATCTTCCTGAGCATCAGTGTAGATACATGCATTGTAGATACATGAATTGGGCTGGGTATCCTACAATCAGCTGTTCTCTGTATTTTGGCCAGTTATGGATGTCTGTAATTGTCTCTATCTGCTGCAAAAACAAAAAACAAAACAAAACAAAACAAACAAAACAAAACCTTTTCTGGTGAGGGGCAAGAGCTACACTTACCAGGCAAGACTAGTACATGAGCTGTGTGACCAGAGTTAGGCCTGGCTTAGATCTCTCAATCCTCCTGCCTCAGGCTCCCCAGTGCTGGGATTACAGGTGCTCATTACCATGCCTGGCTTTCTGATCAACTTTATGCTCATTAATTTAAGGAGGGCATAGTAAAGATTTTCATATCCAGAAAAAATGTGTGTGTGTGTGTGTGTGTGTGTGTGTGTGTTGTATGAACTTGGAATTCCAAAACAGATGGTCTTTCAGGATTAACTCATATATTTATAAGAATTAGGACAACAGGGGAAATAAACTCTATCTTCCTTCTACATGAAGAGCAGTATTTATATATCATCTTATTGATTAAAAGTGAACTCATTTCATATAGAAGAATCTTAGTAATATGTTCACTACCATTAGTAGTGAAAAGCTAGTCCCATCTGAATCTGAGGGTCAAGTTTTTGGTATTCCTTCTTGTAGGAAAGTTCATGGATAAAAATCTGAAAATCCTAAGCAGTAATCATTTTGGAACAATGCTAGTCTCAAATGTTTCATGAAAACCCTTGCAAGTATTTCTACACTCACAAAAATGGAGTATTGTAGATGTGTGCTAAAAGAGAAGCAGTCCATTTCTTTCTATGTCTAAACCAGCAGTATTGGGTTGGCTCAGCTACTTTCTATTTTGCTCTGCTAGCAACATTAGGAACTCTCTCTGTAATTCCCATGAAATGCCTATAAAATTGGATTGCTGCACTCCCAAAAGGAAGTGCCTATGGCAACACAGGGCTGATTGTTCATCCACTTACCTTCTTTATTTTATGACTCGAGGGTTGCCAGTCTATGCTTTTTAATTTTTGTTATAGTCCCAGAAACTTGGAGTGACTTCCCTATGAGGGATATTCTGAGGAATTTTTATTTGAGCTACTTTCCATATCTGCGTGGTTCTTCCTAAATCTCCATTCCACAGCACAGGCATGGTCTATGGCCTTGTTAATTCTCAACCTACCTTCTTACTGGAGAAGCAGTTCTTACCACAGAACACGATTACCTATCCCAGTTTATTCTACTCTTCTGGTATCCTTTTATTTTTGTTTCAGTTTCTAAGTACCCACTCTCCTCCATGAACACACAGTCAGGGACTGTGTACTGACATTTCTGTCAGTAATGAGCTTCATAAATAATGATGGTCCCATAATAGTTTGTCATAGTTTGTTAAAATACTTTGTGTGTGTTACACAATGATGGAACTGTCTAACACAATTCTCAGAACACATCATCCTCATTAAGCAATTCAAGCCCGCATTTTAAAATTTTCTAACAGCTATATTCAAAAGTAAACAGGAAAAGGTGACATTTATCTAACCAAGTATATTTTAAAAACTTGCCTTTCAACATGTAATCAACATGTAATTGTTAGACCCTCAGAAAGCTGAGGCTTCCAGAATCTTAGCCCAGGACGACGGCCACCCCAAACACAGAATGGAGGCGAAAGCTTGATGCAAACTGCATGAGGCTTTATTGTAGTTTAACGAACTAACCCCATGTTAGCTCGGGTCTTTTACCCACCCGACATGGCGGACGGCTAGAAAAGACGGCTCCTTGGGTCTCCCAAAAGATCTTATAGGGCAGCGTAAGGGGAGTGTCTAGGGGTACGCACAGGCTTACAATTGGTGTGCCTCCAGGCTTGGAGGGCTTGCCCTGTGTTGATTGGTCAACTGGTTGTTATGGCTCATAGGCCCTCCCAGGGTGGTTGCTATGCTCTCTACGTCATTGTCGTGCGCTTGTCCGTAAAGCACACCCAGGGTCGTAAAGCATAGCGCCACCAGCTAACTTCTGATTGGCTCCTTGTCATGAGACAGGCATCTGACTTTCTAGTGACTAACTTCTGATGGGTTCCTTGTCACGAGACAGGCATCTGACCTCTACGTGACCAAGGCAGGTTTATGGCAAGCATGTGTTCGGCTGTTATGGCTGCCAAAAGGGAAGCCGGTTCCTTCATAATCAACATGTAATCAACACAAATCCCTGTTCTCATCATCTTGCCTTTGAAATCCATTGTGCATTTTACATGAGTGGTGCATCTTATTTCATATTTTAAGTTCTCAGTAGTCATATAAGCTAGTGGATTTGGCAGTGGCCAGCTCAATTCTAAGGATTTTAGGAGACAAGATTGATGGGGGAGGTCCTTCTGTGTATATGTTTGTCTTATTGGTTGATAAATAAAGCACTGTTGGCCAATAGGGAAGCAAGATAGGGGGGACTAGGAGAGAAGGAGGATTCTGGGAAATGTAGTAAAGGGAGGAGTCGCCATGTGATCCTAGCAAGAGAGGACTCATGCCACCATTGTCCTTGATAAGGTAAGTCTTTATAATATATATATATATATATATATATATATATATATATATATATTTTTTGTATATATGTTTCACAATCTGCCCTTACCAACCTGATTCTTTGCCAAAACTGATAAGAGCTGTATATAGAATTTTCTCGGCATACATTAGACTAGTGCTTTCAGATATCTACTTGTGCCAATGTATATCGTTACACAAGATACCCAAAGGAATTCCCTGACACTAAAATTTCATGGCAATGGACACCACTGGAAACTCGCTTTCAATGGTGATTTTCTTTCTTTGCAGGTGAACTATAGATAATCTGTAAGGGGTCTCTTTCTGCCCTGCCCAGCCAGCTCCCCAATAATGATATGTGGATTTATTATTAATATTAATTATGAAATCTTGTCCTTAGCTTAGGCTTGTTCCTAATTAGTTCTTATAACTTAAATTAGCCCATTTCTATTAATCTTTGTTCTGTCATATACTACCCACCCTGCTTCTTCTGTGTCTCCTGCTCTCTCTCTCTCTCTCTCTCTCTCTCTCTCTCACACACACACACACACACCCCACACACACTTAGATACCTTTTCCTACTTCGTCTCTCTGCCCAAAGTCCTGCTTATCCCTCCTGCCTGGCCAGGTGCACTTATATCCATGGAAGGGCAGGCAACTGTAGGGTTTGTGGAACAGACAGCTGCACGGATGCACAGATTGGCTTGCATTTTGTCTTGAGACTGTGGTGTATCTAAAGAAGGTCAGAGAAGGTGGCGGGCTCTTTCTGCTGAGAAATACTCAAGTAATCAGTTCTTCTGACCTGCCTGTGTTGAGCAGTTAGCATTATTGCAAGAGCAGCGAGTTTGAAGTGGAGGTTTATGTTATAAAACAGTTGATGCTAGGGACATGAACAAGGGCAAGAGGGTCCTCCTGGCCCAGGCCCAGATAGAACCAGAGAGTAGGTTCCTTGGAATCCACACATATCAAGGTCTCTCTTCAGTATGGGCCTGCATAGGAGATGCTCCCAGCTGATACCATTTTAAACTGCAATGCCACTCTGTGCCAAGTGGCTTGCAGATTCAAAGGAGCCACAGCATGGTGTTAGAGGCAGAGCCTTGCAGACTGTCATCTTTGGATTGATCATGGCCAGACACTGTGGACCTGGGTCAACTTCCTTGGCAGTTCTTCCTATGACTGCCTTGTTTGTAAAGTGATGATGATGGAGCTGGCTCCTAACACTGGCCTGGAGCATATATGATATAATGCATTCCGGTTTAAAAGACTGGACACATTAAGTTCTCAACATTCTGCATCAGTGTTTCAGATGTATTAGATTATTCCTAGGCTCATCTCCCTGCTCACTGGGGTACATACTTCCTGGAGCAGTAGAACCCAGAGATTCCTGGCTGCTTGAACTTACTCCAGAAAAGGAACTGTGCTTACCACCTCAGTGCAGCCTCCATGTGAGAATATTATCCTACTGTCGTTCCTCAGCATGTAAATATCCAGTTAATAGTTTTGAATTGTGCCACGTTAGGAAAATACATCCATCTCAGCATGTACATTTGTTTCCATCTTTAGTAAAGAGTAAAATTGTAGGTACACCAAAGAAGTGTTTTAAAATAAACTTTCTAATTTATCATCAGTAAATGTTTGATTCACACACATATTTTATAAACCTGTATATCTGAGGAACATAAAGATTGGGTGAAAATGTTTCAGAAGCTCTGCTTTAGAACACAATGGAAATCTTGGCTTTGGGGCTGCACTTGGGATGTGTGGAGCCTTGTGCAGGCAGAAGCCGAAAGAGATTGCTGTGGGCATGAGATGCAGATGAAATGATATCCTGGCCATCTGAGATATATGGGCCATGAAGAGTAGCAAAGCCCTTTTGGGTAATTTCTGTAGTGAAGTGTCTCTGCTAGGGTGAGGTGACTTGCTTAGGAACTTGCATTGAACAAAGGGACTTCATTATGCAGTGGGAAAGCAAAAGGTTCTCATTAGAAGAGAACTTCTTGTACTGATGGTATTCAAGGGATAAGTACATTTGGGTTCTGGAACTCAAAGCACTTTGATAAATCTTAAATAGCTTATAATATTTGGTAATCAGGAGAAAAGGACCCATGTGCCCACTTTTTACTACCTTTTAAAGGCTTTCTAAGACACCCATCTGGTTAGTCTAAATTGTCTCCTGACACTATTCCCAAGGTCTTCCCAATGGGGAATTAACTAACTATCTGCAAACCTGCATTCATGTAATTGATTTCTTTTTTCTAGAGATAAGGTCTTGCTATATAGTTTAGGCTCATCCGGAACTCACTATGTAGCCCAGGCTAGCCTAAACCCATGGTCTTCTTCTAGAGCAGCGAAATCAAATATATCATCATATGTATTAAACGTGTCTCATTGTATACTTTTTCTTTTCCAAGATAAAAGGAAAACTTCCTCTTTTGTCTTTCTCAGTATTTAACAAGAGAAAACCAAACACACAAATGGAGAAATGATCATGAAAATGTTTCCTTCAGGCCTATGATTTTTCCCCCCCAACAGGGTAAAATTTGCCATTGTTTCATGCCTGCTGCACACTACACAGTGGTACCTTGGTGAGGACTCCACTCACAAATCAAGGGAGCAAGAGTGAGCCTGTTCGCATGTGAGCTCCCATGAAAGATCTGTGAAGACCCCACGGAACTGTGTAAATCTCAAGAGGATGACAGCCAGACTGAGACAGTACAACACCACTTGCTCTACATGCTTCCCATAGCCTTATGTGTTAGATGTGGTTAGGCTGGACCATAAACTGTAAGTTCTTGCCCTGTTTTAACGAGTATGTGACACAGCCATTGGGAGAATAAAGCAAAATTCTGAGCTAAAAATGAACATGCAAATAGTGCTCTAGAGTTTAAAAACAAGCAGTTTCACTTCCTTTTCCCCCTGCCTCTGCCAACTGAGGTCTGTCTGCAGTTATGAACTGCACAGAAGCAGGTCTGAGTCACCATCACACAGGGTATGGGAATTAGTGTGAGAGTCGGTCTCTAGATGGTTTTGCTGCAAATGTAAAAAAAGGACTAAAGGACCATTGGAAACTTGTAGACACTTGAAGACAAAAGGAAATTAAATGTACTTTTTAATGTTTACAAGAAAGAGTTGAAGCCAGGCATGGTAGTGAAGGTCTGTGAAATATTCTCAAGATCATTTCCCCACTTAAACATTTGATTTTTACCACCAAAAATATTAGGAAAAATAAAATATTAATTCCAGCTTTGGGAGAGGCTAAAGCAGAAAGATTGTGAGTTCTAGGCATTTATCTAGCATACATTGTGAATTCTTGTCTCGGAATAAGACAAGAACAACAAACAAAACCAAGCACAACCAAATAAAAACTTCAACCCAAATTAAAAATGAAGTAAAAGGGACCCTGAAGAAAGAGACTAGAATGCATACCGTGGTGTTTGCCCTGAAAGTGGTTTCCAGGTAGCTCTGAAGAGGATGTAACTAGTAGTGATGTAGAACATTGCCCACACAGACAGAAACAGTCACCAGTAGAGCTTTATCACGAAGCACAAGGAGACAGCCCATATTTGCAGCAAGGTCAGCAGCTATCCTAGAAATAAACAGCAAGTCTTCTTCAATGGCAGGGGCCCCAAATGGCACCTCAGTTTGCTATATGATGCTGGCTGTCTCTGAACGAGACCTTGACCCTGAGACTTCCATCACTCACTGAATGATTCGGATTCTTCCTGGTGGAAAGCACCCTTGCCATCTGTTTTGTAACACTGGCTCACCTATCAGCTGTGAGTTAACTCTACAGATAAGTCGTGGAGAATTGGTACATTTGAGATGGGTCCACGAGAGATCACAAGGGAATGTTCCAGAATACCCATGCCTTGCTATTCTTTTCACCTGAATTCTTCAGGTATTAGCTGTGTAGGGCCTTTACAGTGAAGGGCTTTTGGACAGGCAAGCACCAACACAGTTGTAAAACCAGGACTAGCGATGTCTGTGCAGCCTCCCTATCTTCCAGGGTGATGTAGAGTTCAAACACAACCCAGAGAAGGCCCTCTGAAAACCACACTGTTCCATGAAGCCCAGGGTCTGTGGTTAGCAGTGTGTACCCAGGTGAAAGGGCATAGTGCTGTCAAAGGAGGAAGCTGTGGTAAGTGACTCAGAGCAGCTTCCGTGACTTCTGCCTGAATCACAGTGTGTTTTGCAGCCCAGCTCTCACCTCTACAGGTCCTCCCGTTTTCCTTCTCTCTCTTCAGCTGCTGGTGCCCTTTCCAGAAAGCTGATGTATGGAGCTCACTCACTTATAGTATTCTGTGTCTGTACCACTGACCAGAGTTCAAGTGGCCTCCAGAGGCTAAATTTAATCTGGCTGGACCCAACTCCACATGACAGGGAACAAGACAGATTACATTGATGGGTGGTAGGTCTCTGGTTGCTAGGGTTATTCAGAGCAGGTCAGTCAGCTAGCCACTTCTCTTGTAAAAAGCAGACTTGGAAAAAGTTTGGTCTTTTGCATTTTACAGCATTGGTACCTCTTGGCTGCTCAGAATGGTTACGAAGGATGGCCAATGGGGTTTCATCGCCAAGTAGGAGCAACTATATTTTAGAATTACCTTGTAGAGCCCTGTTGAAGATGCTGATCCTGGATCCTGACTTAGCAGTAAAGAGCCCCCTGCCTGTTCATTACACTTCCAGTGAGGTGGGAAGGCTGATAGAATAATTACATATTTATTATCCTGAAAACAAAAGAAGAACTTAGGGGAAATGGCTGTCTGCATTTGTGGCTCCTTTAAATAAGGTCTCATCGTGATGGTCTGAGGTTAATAGACAAAACCAAAGGGTGAGACAAGACTTCAAGATATGAGAGAAAAAGCAAATGGTGAGGATTCTCCCTGGCTTCTGGGTCTCCTTATTTTTTTTAAATTAGAATAGAACTTTATTTGTGGAATTGAGATTTTGAAAATGATTTTATAGTTTATGCGATAATTTTTGATACATTAATCTGGATATACATTTACCATATAAGAAAGAATTTAAAAACAATGTTGAATATCTTATCACCAAAACCAATTGTGTTCAACTTGATATTTTTAAGGAATAACTTAGGTATTATAAATAAAAAGCGAAAACAAATTACCATTAGGGTCTGCATTTGTAACATAATTTTGTGTTTCATTTGTCAGGGGAGGAGAATTAGAGAAAATGAAGACTAAAATACTTTCTTAGAAAAGTACAAAGCCTTTGCTTTGTGAAATTGGCTCCACAACTCCCCAGCAGTCGAATGTCGCTGAGACATTTCCATGCAGACTGGCATGAGGAGCTGTGTGATCTATCCAGGTTCCTCCAGACCATTGGTCCACACCTGGGTGAGTGGGAGTGTGCCTGGACTTCCTAATACCAGGTTCTAGTGAAGTCATTGGACCATCCAAAGGGCTATCTGCCTGATGAAAAGAAAGCTTGTGTTTTCTAAGCTCTGCTGTTGATGGCTTCTCCAAAGTGGGACCAAACAGCCATGTACAAATCTATTTCATAAGACAGTTTCACCCTTAGTTCTAAACAATGGGGACATTCCAGATAATACACTGGCCCATATTAGTGTTATTTTGCCACTGTAGAGAAAGTGAACTCTGTTGCTAAGATCCATACATGAATACATACATATATGCCAGCACACACTTGGGGTCAGCCATATCCTTTCATCTTCAGCTACTCTAAATCACTTTCTTTGTAGGTGAACATACTAACTGGGAGGAGAGGCAGCTTGGTGCCTGACTCAGACTCTGGGGTCTGGCAGGAAAACATTTCTTTAAAAAGAACGGCCTGATCTTTCGCTACTCCAGAACTTACCATAACCTCAAAAGACAAAAGGGTGGGCATAGCTATTCACACCTGACAGATAAAGAAACTGGAGCCTCGTAGTGCATGCTCACACAGATGGCCAATGATAGAATCAAGACTGCACAGGTGTCATGGCTGGCTGACTCAGTAAAGACAGCTGGGAAGCATGCACTGGCCTGGGGTCACTTTCCCTGACCCACACAATGATGTGGCCCACGAAAAGTGTTTTTGCTACTGTCCTTGGAATCCCTACCATGGGCTGACAGGCACTTGTCTTGTTAGAGCCAACAAGCTAAAACCAATGGCCCCATGTACTTCTGACAGCTCCCACGGGGCATTTATATGCACCCCAGAAAGTTCTTAACACACGAGTACATTAATTTATACACACCACATTGAAAAGTAGGCTTAGTTTTTCCATAGACATGCCTAATGAGCATTTTCTGCATAATCACACCATCATAAGGATGAATAAGAGTCAGCATATATGCTCTCTGCAGGTGGACTGGGACCTCGCCTCCCTTTCCGCCTGCCTTCGGCTGCTTCTCCCTGCTTTCTGTGGTTTATGAAGTCATCTACCTATCTCCAGGTTTCTCAAGGATGAAGATGGAGCTGGATGTCACTGCTGACAATTTTATCTCAGGCCCGGGTCTGAGTCTCCTTTTTTACCCCCTCCAGTTTCAAAAACAGAATTGCTCCAAATCATTTTTCAGAAAATGCTAACTAAGGTTGTAGTCTTTCATATGCACTTGGGAAGAAAAGTGCCTACAGGGCAAAAAACATCTGGAGAGTTTTGGTGAAAATACTCGGCTATCTGTGCTTCTCAGAGAATACTTCAGGAAAGAGAAATTACCCTTTATTTTTGCCTAATTCGTGAGATAATTTACTTTCCACTTTATTTGTGGGTATGGTCATTGTGTGTGTGTGTGTGTGTGTGTGTGTGTGTGTGTGTGTGTGTGTGTGTGTGCATATGTGTGTATGTGTGCACAGGTAGGAGTGTATGTCTGTGTAGGAGGAGGAAACAGACCTTACTTTAGGAAATAGAACCATTTTCATAAGGGCCTGAGATCACTTGCTAGATAACCAAGATTCAAGATACACAGATATTAGCATTCACCATTGTCACCATTGGCGACATTCAGAATTCTAACATTAACAATAAACCACTCATCTATATTTTTGGTCATTTTTTATATATCATGAATTATACATTTTCTGGTTTTAAGGTCCATCACTTCTAGTATTAACGGAGATGGGTGTCTTTCAAAATCTTATCATCTGTTTTTTTTTTTATATTCTTCATCCTTCTGAGAACATATTCATCTTTTACACTTGTCCTATACAAATGAGATTTATAAAATAAAAACCTGAGTCTGTTCATTTAAAAAATTTTAAACATTTATTTTACTATTGTATGTGCATGAGTATTTTGCCTGTCTACATGTTTATAGACCAGGTAGATGCCGTGGAGGTCAGAAGTAGGCATTAGCTCTCCTGGGACTGGAGTTACCAATGGTCTCGAGCCACCATGTGAGCGCTGGGAACCTAACCTGGCTCCCCTGTGAGGTCGACAAGTGGGTCCTATGAACTCATGTACTCACATGCACATACCCCCCTCCACTACACATAACTAAAAATAATAAAAAATAATTAAAAATAAGGAACCATTCCCAGAAGACCCTGATTTTCTGTTTCCCCAATGCCGGGATTTAATCAGCAACAAATATCAACATTCCATGTACGGACACAGTTCTTAATTAGAGGCTTCAGAGATTAGAAATGAGAGCAGAGCAAAGGAGTCATTACGATGTGCAAGTATGAAAACACTGGCTTTTGCTTTAAATCCAGCATCATATTTTCTCAAGGGAAAGGCAAAAACTCACATTATGAATTGAATGATTGTATGAGGAGGTGTTTCAAAATGAGGATCATATTTCATAGCAATTTGAAAGATTCTTTATCAATTTCCAGAGCAGTTAAAACTCCTCATTTTTAATAGTTACTGCCACATATGAAATGTTGGAATGCTGTGTCTCATAAATAAACACATGCACTAAGTGAGATCAAGGCATATACATGCAAAGAAGGAAGCCTGGCATGTGGAACATATTAACAATGCCAGAGGGGTCACCATCTGGGCATGTGAGGAGAGCGCACATCTGCATTCCTGGCTCGAGCATCTGGATCGCATCACCCGTGTTTTCCCCACCCACACATCACAGCACGAGGGACTTCCTGACGAATCAGATGTTGCCCAAAGGTACCATGTTTTTTTTCTTTCTTTCTTGTTGTCATGCACATAAACACGGACTGCAAAAGAATCACAGATTAAATCAAATCGAATTTGTATCACATTTGTCTCATTGGACAAAATGATGAACGGGCCAAGAGTATTAAAGGAAAGGAGTTGTGTGATGCTTGTTTTCCTTGCATTGCAAGTCTCCATCTATTTACAGCTATTTGTATGTGCGGATAGCACACCTGCAGGGCAGGAGGATACACAGACACAACGAGAGAAATAAATGACTCCAGGAAACACTGATGCTGTCAGTACTGAAGCACTTACAGAAAGTGTGGACATAAACCTGAGCAAGAAGAGTGCCTGGAACTCTGGAATGTGGTGACCCTGAGAATGGCAGCTGCCCACTGTTCTGTCTCACAGGCAATCCAGTTAATGATTTTGTCATTAACTCTTAAAGGAGATCCTGCGAGGGTACCCACATAACTATGTCTGTGTTTGCATTTTGCTTCATTTTCAAGAGATTTGAGCAGAGATATGCATTATTAGCACAATAATCATTTCTAGTGTTTCAAGCCTGTTACTAGGCAGGAAGTTTGATTTAGACAGAACAAAACTTTGGTCTCTCATAAATTATTTGCCTTTGTATTGAGGTAAGTTAATGGTGTGTCTGAACCCTGAATTCTGTATAGGTAGTTTTCAGGCCCTAATAATTTGTGGAGTCATTGAAGGATTCTTTTTCAGGGAGACATCTCCCTATTTCATGAACGTATGAAAAATAGCTTCACATTAAAACAGGTAGAGATAACAGCATTGAAAGGTTTTATGTTTTAATTAAGAGCTGTTAAAAGCACTTGGAAGTGATTTAACCTTGAAGTTCTGCCAATGTCTAATCTATATCAAGATTATTACCTTGAGAAGAAAAAAGCTTACTGGCTGGAAAGAAAAATTCCAACTTTCCAATGGTCGGTCATTGCCATGCTGAAAATGGGGGATAGATCCCTCTTACATGTAGTAGTATGCCAAGCAAAGCATGAGATTCCCACCCACATCTACATGTCTGATACTCATAGGCCTGCTAATTATATTTTTAGACCCTATTTGACAAGCAGATTTTTTTTGCTTTACATATTCATAATAACTTGCTTTGAATTCTATAAACCACAGAGCACAATCTGTTTGGACAAATTAAATAACAATTTCATAACTCTTTCTCTGTGTGTGGGGGGGAGGGAGAAAGGGAGGGAGAGAGAGGGAAGGAGGAAGGGAAGGAGGTGTAAGGCAGGGTCTCATACATCTCAGGGTAGTCTCAAACTTGCTATGACCCTGGCCTTGAACTCTTAGACTCTTGGCCTCTAGTTCTGCAGTATTGGGATTAAACTCATGAATTATTACACCTGGCTCAGAAAGTGTTCTGAGAATTGTGTTGTGAATTCTCTGCCCACTTAAGTACCTACCCTGAGTTATGCTTGAAGAAAAAAATTATGAAAATAATGATCCCATCAGCGTATAAACATACATAAAGAATAGTGTCTTCTGCATATGAAGTTATTCACCCCATTCACTTTCACTTCAGTCATTTCCCCAACTATTTCTTTTTCTTGCATAGTATCTGTAAACTTGATACAGGCATCAAGAAGCTCAGCTTCCAGCCGGGCGGTGGTGGTGCATGCCTTTAGTTCCAGCACATGGGAGGCAGAGGCAGGCGGATCTCTGTGAGTTCAAGACCAGCCTGGTCTACAAGAGCTAGTTCCAGGACAGCTTCCAAAGCCACAGAGAAACCCTGTCTCAAAAAAAAAAAAAAAAATGGGCTGGAAAGATAGCTCAGTGGTTAAGAGCACTGCTTGTTCTTCCAAAGGTCCTGAGTTTAATTCCCAGCAACCACATGATGGCTCACAACCATCTGTAATGAGATCTGGTGCCCTCTTCTGGCATGCAGGCAACCTGCAGACAGAACACTGTACACATAATAAATAAATAAATCATAAAAAAAAAGAAACCCAGCTCCCACTCAGACCTGTTTCCCTAACTACACCCCTACAGAGCAGGGCAGACTGCTAGTCGCTACCCATGAGGGAAGCTGGAGTACGGTGCTCACGCACAGTCTCTAATGCCTTCATCTTCAGAGCCACTAATTCCTGACATGACTTGTAAGTACCCTTTTCCACCAAGCTCCTTCGGTATTGTTTCCCACATCTGCAATCTACTTGGGTCCTTTCGTTAGTCTGCATTCTTCTTGGGATCCCCAATCTTATTTGCCCTTGAAAATTTTCTATCTCTTAAGGTCCACTTTCTGCACCATACAGTTCTATGGAATTTGACAAATGAGTGTTTTGTATTCATGAATACAGTATAACACAGATAAATTTTACTGATCTTAAAAAAAGCAACTCATTCCATCTGTTTATTTCTCCTCTTCCCTCTGAAGTACTGGCGACCACTCAGTGTTTTTCTGAATAGGTTCATGTTCCTGCATATTCCATATAATTAGAACCATACAACATGCAGCCCTTCACCAGGGGTTCTCCATGTCTTTCCATGACTTGGAAGCTTTTTTTGTTGTTGTTGAATAGTATTTTGTTGCATGGATATATAAGTTAGATAATTTATTCAGAGGTTAAAGAGCACCTGGGTTGCTTCCAGTTGGGATGATTATGAACAAATCTGACATCTATTCTTGTATCTAACTATGTATGTATGCATGTATGCATGTATCATCTCTCTCTCTCTTTCTCTTTCTTTCTTTCTTTCTCTCTCTCTCTCTCTCTCTCTCTCTCTCTCTCTCTCTCTCTCTCTCTCTCTCTCTCTCTCTCACACACACACACACACACACACACCTGAGATTTTAGTGAATGCAGGTTTTAAGCTCAACCAAGTAAACACCCAGTAGAATGATCATTGATCATGTGACGAAACCATGGCCGGCCTTTGTGGGAGACTACCAAATAGTTCCAAGCATGGCTTTCAAATTTTGCCTTCTCAGCAATGAGAGCTCTTATGCCTTCAGTTTTCTCAACACATTTAACACTGTCAGTTTCCTGTACTTCAGCCTTTGTGATAGCCTGCACTTGTATTTTGTTATCATCCAAATTTGCAGTCCCCTGTGGCACGCAATGATGAGGATGACAAATGTCTTTGCATCTGCTCACTTGCTATCTGACAGGGTGTCTTTCCAGATATCTTGTTACTTTTTAAATTAGTTGCTTTTCAAAAAAATTTTAGAACGTGTGTGTGTGTGTGTGTGTGTGTGTGTGTGTGTGTGTGCCTGCATGAGCTTATGTGTGTGATGTGCTTGCAGCAGCCCAGAGAGGCCAGAAGAGGGTGCAGGATTGCATGGACCTAGAGTTACCGGCAATCGTGTATCACCTGACTTGAGTAGTAGGAACCAGACTCCAGTCTTCAGTTGGAGCAGTAAATGTTCCTAACTGCCGAGTTACCTCTCTAGCTCCAAATTAGTTGCTTTTTATAGTTGAATTTTAAGTATATTTTGGATTCAAATTTATTTCCAAGTGTGCATTGAGGTAAATATTTTCTCTCAGTCTGAGGCCTGTTTATTATTTGGTTTTTCATTTTCTTTATAGTATCTTCGACAGGATAGTTTTTAATTTCCATAAATTAAGATTTACTGATATTTCCATTCATGGGTCAGACTTTTTGACATCAGGCCTAAGAATTTGCCACCAAATCCAAGTGCACTGAAATATTTCTTCTGTGTTATCTTATAAAAGTCTTGTATTTTATATTTAAGTCTAAAATATTTTGATTTTTGTGGAAATTATAGGTTTTGCATCCAGATTAACTTTTTTGCATATGGAAGTTGAATGGATCCATCACATTTATTGGAAGTGTAGACTTTCTCCTTTGCATTGTCTGTCTTTCACTGGGATGACTATACTTTTGTGGTTCTGTTGGGGACTGTTCATTCTGGACAGTAATTGCGTGTTTATTCTGTTTTGCTAACACAACACTACTGATGTCTGAATCTGTATATCAAGTCTTGAGGTTGGATGGTGTCTGTCCTTTCACCTCATTCTCCAGTGTTGGCCTTTATATATATATAGGAATCATTATGTACAATACACAGAACAGCTTGCTGGAATTTTGATTTGGGTTTTATTGATCCTATAGTTCAAACTGGGAATAATTAACCTCTTAACAATATGTAATTTGAACATGAGGTATCTTTCCTCTTATTTTATAGCTTCTCAGTTGTCTGCATTGAGATCCTGCACATGTTTTCTTTGATATATGCCCCAGTTTTCTCACTGCTACCTTGATGGTAGACCTCACACAGGATCACCTCCATTTACCTACCTCTGTGAATTTAAGGTGGTGGGTTCCTGTATTCCCAGCTCTCTGACAGGTTCAGTAGTTTCTGATGCTGTTTGCTCAAGTGGTTGTTTTTGCTGTTGCTATAAAATGGGAGCAATGACTTCTACAGTTTTTATTTATGTGCTGGAGTAGAAATTGTCTTTCTTATTTCTTTACAGTCTGTTATCTGAAATATGAGGAAAATGAGGCTCACTGTGATTCCATAAGTGGCTAGAATCTTTCAGCTCCTTGGCAGGCCAGTGGTCTTCTCCTTCATCATCCTGCCTCCAGTTCCAATGAGTCCATCTCACAAAATTAGCCCAGGCAAATGTTCTCCAAACAAACATGGCAGAGTATAAGGGTGTGGCAAGGGGGGCACATGTACACATGTATTGCTTTCAAAAATCCAATACATCAAAATGCCCTAATGTAAAATGTAGATCAATGACCAGTGAGTCACTTTAGCTTTACAAAAATATCTAGAGAAGAATCCTCCCATCAGCAGACTGCTTTGGTAGTACATGTTTACGTATGTGTAAATGTTAGACAAATTATCTGTTGTGCACGTTCAAAGTCAACTAGTGGTTCTGAACCATCCAGTCCCCATGCTAGGAATCCTTGAAGAAATGTTTCTGAGCCACACCTCCGTGAGATGGGTCCTTAGTGTGTCTGCTGTATAGAGAAGGGAACCACACCTCTGTAAAAGACTGGTCCTTAGTGTGTCTGCTGTATAGAGAAGGGAACCACACCTCTGTAAAAGACTGGTCCTTAGTGTGTCTGCTGTATAGAGAAGGGAACCACACCTCTGTAAAAGACTGGTCCTTAGTGTGTCTGCTGTCTAGAGAAGGGAACCACGGCTTAGGGATATTTAAGGAGCTTGCTCTTGATGTGGGAGTAAATGACTAGCGAGGGAGGCAGGATTCTAGACTTCTATTTAATTATTTATAACTAATTAATTATACAGCTTTGGCCAAGATGTTTAAACCCTATGAACTACATTGTATGAAGTAAGATTAAAAATTAAGTACACATAACTGGACTAATGTTCAAAAGGCTCTTATTATGGCTATAGTAGTAATTCAGGAAGTTTATATCATTATTAAAGTGATTATAATAATTATATAGCATGGTATTATAGCAATTATAATTGCATATACTGTATATTGATATACTACTATTATATTGTCGGTAATTACAGCAGCAAATCATGGCAATGAACTTTACTATATGGTCCTTTATTGTATTACATTGCAGATTATATGGTCCTTTGTTATATTATACTGTAGGTGATATGACCCTTGTAATATTATATTGTAGAAAAGAGCTAGAAACTTCTCTAATCTTACAAATGAGTTCAAGGCTCTCAGTAGCCCTGGCAGATACCTTGAGATCTCAGGTATCCATAGAAAATATTCAGAAGCTAGGCTCTCTCTGGGTAGTTTTTTAGGATACCAAACTGTAGCCTCAAGATATTAACTTGAGTAATACACTCAGTTCTGGTTTTCCCAACATAGTTCATTTAATGTATAACTTAAAAAAGCAGAGTCTCAACAAGATATGGGTGCTTCATGAAGTACTTCCAGTACTGGTGGTGGCAGATGTCACCAGAGTCATGTTGCACCATGCTCTGGAGATGAATTTCTAAGAAGAAATGTAAAGCACAGAGCAATCAGGGTACATGTGGGAAAGCCAGGCCTCACTACTGAATGTCCCCATGAGTGATAGCATCAGTGGAGACATGCAGGGGGAGCAGCTACTTGATTTCCTCCTTTTGGGACAATGCCATTAAGGGACCGATGGCCTACTTAGCTTCTAAGCTAACCCAACAGAGCATGGCCACAAAGAGACTCGACTCTGCAAGTGATCACTGTCAGAACCCCTTTAATCAAGGCCCCCAGCTCTGTGAAGAGTAAGACAGGACTGCTGCAAGAGAGGCCATGATCTCAGCCACCTGGTCATCTCCATGGTGAGCCTTAGAACTTCAGAGCCCTGTTGGGTTGTCATAAAATAGGAGAGCTCTGTGAGAGAAATCAGAAACCCTCAACCTCAGGGAGCAAAAGTAGGGTGACTGAGGGGTTCAAATCATCCCAGAGCACAAGCATCTCAAGTGTCCAAGTCAGCAACATGAATGACAGAAGACAGCTCAGAGCTGCAGCTGAGATGGCAGGCTTGCAAAGCCCACCTGGACCCAATGTCTCCTTAACCAGAGAAGGCCAGACATGCCAGTGGACACAGTCCCCGAGAGATGCTGACTGCTGGCCAGGCTTCCCTGGGTCATGGCATAAATAAGAACTCCATACTTGATGCTACAGTGACCTACATACTCAGAGCTGACACAGGAGCTGATTTTTTAACACAAAGACAGAGTCCTTGGCACTTGCCACCATAAAACACAACAGATAAATCCGTCAAAGGAAACAGGGCCACAGACAATGGGCTCATGTGACATGTTTCCTCTCAAGGGCAGGGAACTAACTGTGCGAAATTCACACCCCTCTAGTGCAGAAACAAAATCACCCCATGTATCTAATTCAGAGATAGTTGTCAAGTATGGAGAAAAGGCAGAGAGAGGGCTCAGTGGTTCGGAGCACTTGTTTTTGTAGATGACCCAGGTTTGATTTCTAGCACCCACATGGCAGCTCACAATCATCCTTAACTCTGTGCTAGGGCTATGATGCCCTCTTCTGGCCTCCCCAGGCACTGTACTCATGTGATGTGCAGGATAACACTCAGGACACATAAAATAAATAAATGTTTAAATTTTTTTAAAAAAACAAAAGAAACAAAACCAAAGATGGAATGGAGCACTGAGTGATTTATTAGGTCTTCAGGCTTCTTTATTCATGAAGATTCAGAAATTCCATCTTAGGTTTTTACCTGGGGTAGGAGGCAAGATAGAGTTTTTCTGTGATGCAGACAGTGGATAATTAGTGATATTTGATACTTGTTTCATCTATTTAAAACTTCTTCAAGTGCAATGCAAGGGGTAGTTTTTGTTATTAAGTTTTTATTTATTCTTGAGAAGTTCACAGAGGTACACGATGCTATCTCCACCTCCCTCTAACTCCTTCGAGTCTCCTCCCATACACCCATTTCATGTCCTTTATTAAAAAGAAAAGACAAAAACCCAAACCCACTGAATCCATTTAGAGCTGCCCATATCCTCCTGGTGGAAAGCCTTTCATGGGAGCATGGGTCATCTACCAGTGGCCAAGGAGGTGGGCTTTTTTTTTCTTTTTCCAAATTCTTTAAAGATTTATTCCTTACATATCTAGGGTGTACAGAGTTCATAAGTAAACAGGGAGGTGCATAAATAATGATAACTGCTGTGCCCACCCCCCCACCCCGGGCTTTTTTTTTAATTGACAAGATAATTGGTGGCATATTCTTATGGGTTTGTTTATATAACAAAATAAAGCAAGATTCTCTTCTATCATTAAAATATTAAAAATTGCTTAAACTTAAATAGTATATCATACTGAAAATTCCTCTAGACCTTGGCTTCACAAGAAGTAACGTTTATGGTGGGAAAACAAAATAAAATACTGGTCTAAGACAACCCTGTATCTTTCACAGGCGAGTCTTTAATAAAAGGCAGTGCAAGGCTCATTTCCACAGAGGGCGCCCTCAGAGGACCTGCCCCCTCGCCCTGATTCTGCATTCGGGACACATCTGAATATAAATCAGGAAAGCCAGCACCAGAAACACCTATCTATGAACTTGGTTCCAGTTGAATCAGAGACTCTGACAATGGGGTCTGGAGATCTGACCAAAAAAAGCCAGGGAATTCGGACTCACTTTAGGCCACAGGGATGGTGAGGTTCGGTGGACACGCTCCAGTGGGATTGGTCTACAGAAAGGATATCCTGGTCTGGCTTACACACATCCGTGGAAATGCAAACCATTTGTGGCAAGATGACTGCCAGCAATGTCTGTTACTATTACTTACCTTTGGCGAAACAACATGAAACAGCTTCAGCTTTTGAGTTTTGCTATCTTAAACCTCATTTTCTAGGCTTTTGGCAGAAGTTGTTCATGCACGAAGGGGAAAATGGTAGTTAAGTTGGGGATTCTCACCTTGGTCTTGGAGACATTTAGGCTAGATGATTTTTGATGTAGGAGCTGGCCTGCATGGTGAAAGTTTACCAGCATCCCCGGCCTCCACACTGTTCCCAAGCTAGGTCTTGACAATCGGAAGCCTTTCCAGACACTGCCTGGGACTCTGCAGAGCAAAAGTGTACTTGGCTGGGAAACACTAACCTAAGCCATGGTAGTTCTAGTCCATAGTGGCCGCAAAGGAGGAATGTGGCAGCCAGAGGACAGTGGAGCTCACTAGGGCCCGAGGGCTCACCTAGTATGAGTGACTGTGCCTCTGTCTCCCCTGCACCAGCATCACCTACACGGTGATCAGGGCAGAGAAGATCATCAAGATCATATCCATGTGGACAGCTCCATGGCCCTGGTGTATCTGAAGCGTCTTGGGTGAGATCTTACAAGGTACCTCTGGCGCAGACCACGCCACTTTGGGCGTGGCCACATGTGGGTGTGGGGCGTGTGGGATATAGGCCTGAGGAGAGGGAGGCGAGCTCTGTCTAGGGGATCTGGTCTGGTCTCGGAGAGCAGCTGAGACTGCATGCTCGGAGCACTGACCCTGGGTTATCGGTTTCTCATGTAAGTGATTTCTCTCCAATAAAAATAACCTATAACATCCCCATCCCGAGTATGGTAAGCTTCCTCTAATATCTTCTGATTCAGGCTGCAACTGACTAACAAGCCATGAAAAAGCCTTTGTGTCTGGCAAAACCTCAACAACACACTGGCCAGTAGGACAATGAGGATTTCAAATGTAGGTGGTGGTAAGCTTTGGTCAGAGTTTTTCTTGGTTTCTTCCTTTCCCTTGGGCTTGGGGGAATGAGCAGCAAAACCAACCCCTTTGCTTTCACGTGTGACTTTGACCACAGAGTAGGCAGAGAAGACTTAGGCTCCGGTTGGTTCCAGATCTACCACTTCATGGTCTCATAACGCAGAGAAAGTCATCTGTCTTCTTTGCGGTAATCTCTTAGTAACTCGAGATACATAAGGCTACAAAAGAACTCATAAATTGACTTTAGTTTCTACTATTTTTAAGCAAAAATGCTGCCCTGCAGATAGGTGTTGCCTATGGCTTTGGCAGTGATCTGACCAGCAACTGATAGGTTGATTGCATAAACTGTAATATTAATACAAACATTATAGGTAGAAAAACAGGTGTAAGTATGTTCTTGGACAAGCACAAACATTCAGATAATAAATGGGTTTCAGTTTTAGCTGGAGACTCGGTTTGCACCATGATAAATGACATCATTAAAGTAGCATGCCATCTGATGTGTGACCTTGAAGAGACTCTAGAGCAAATATTCTTGACCTTGACTGGAAATTAGGATTATTAGGGAGCTTTGGAAACTCCTGGTGCCCAAGCTGTGTCCCAGATGGCTTAAGTGACAAATAAGAGCTGAACTGCACATAGAAAGCCCAACCCCTAGTTCTTCAGCCTGCCAGAATCCAAGCACTGGAGATACAGCCCGTGTCGCCTCCACTTGTCAGCCCAGCCTTAACAATGCTTCAATCTTGTCCCTTCAGCCTCTAGAAATACCAAGAAATCAGTGTTTTGCTGCTTAAATCCTCTTGCCTGTCTTATTTTATTATGGTAGCTCTAGCAAGGTAATGTAGATTTCCAGGACAGAAATTTATTTTTAAAAAATTTAATCATGATAAGTTTCTTTTTAATGGCTACATAAAACAAACTGTATTTTAATGGGATACACTGTGATATTTATATACATGCATGGGCTGCATAATGTTTAAAGTATCAGTAATTTAAAAAAATCTCCACATGATTTTTTTTTTTTTTTTTTACATTTTTTAAGGGTGGTCAAGGCTGGGAACCACTGAAGGGGGGAGGGAGAGACAGAGAGAGGATGTGGTGGCGTCGAGGAGATAAAGAGACAAAGGGGGGGTGGAGGGTGGGATGGGAGTTGGGGAGGTGGGGGGTAGGGGGTGGAGAGGGAGGGGGAAGGGAAAGAAAGAGAAAGAGAGGAGGGGAAGGAAGGGGAGGGTGGGAGACTGGGGGGGGGGAGATAGACAGACAGACGGACAGAAAGACAGGCAGACAGTCAATCAGACCTAAAGTCAAGTCAATCAGGCAAGAGGAGGAAAATGTAAATACAGGACAGCATGATGTCCATGACAGTGGGACACGCTCAGTCCCAGAATCTTCAGCGAACCTTTCCCCCTTCTGGCTGATTACCATGTGCAGCTGGCTAGCGGTGCAGTCAGAAGCCTGTGACCTTTTAAGGGGTCTTGTTGGGTATACCAGCCTTTGGGGGTCTCTCCTTTTCCAGCGTTTCTACAGAACCTGGAATTATCCAGCACTTCAGAAAAAGGCCCCATCCAAACCCCAGGGGTGCCCCCTGCTGGAAAAGGCATAGAAATGACCTTTCTGAGATACTGGAGTGTGGTGGAGTGGAGCTTGCAGATGGACTTAGGATATCGTACTGGAAGGGACACAGATGGCCTAGAACCCTCCATTTGTCAAGTGAGGAAGCTGGAGCCGAATCGGGGAAATAACATGAACAGGATACAAGGATCTGTTGGAAGCTGACCACAGAAGACAAGAACGATTTCTAAAAGCTTATGAGATACACTCACTCCTCAGGAGAAATGGGAGCAAAAAGAGCAATGACGAGAGTCTAAGAACTTATGCCCTTTACAGACCTAAATCAAAACTGAGCATTAAATACGCTGTGAAATGAATGAAGAGGCCATGTGGGAAGGACATAGGACACGTGGATTCATTACCAATCTAAGATGGTACTTCCATAGATAGAAAATAAAATCTGCCTTATATGTTAGTATTCTAGTGTGTGTGTGTGTGTGTGTGTGTGTGTGTGTGTGTATGCTCATGTGTGCATGTGTGTGTGTGCATGGGTACACCTACATGCACAGCCACCACATACCCCCTTACATATGTAATGAAAATGCATCTCGAGTGGGAAAACCGATACAGAAGTACTAGGAAGAGCATGCATTAGTGTACACATGTAAGAAGTATTCCTATTCTGAATAGGAATACATTCATAATTGATTACTAGAATGCAAAAAAGGGAGGAGTTTTTCATTTTTATTTCTTTCATGTGGTCCCCACAATACCCAATGGCCCCACTATAGGTCCCAGAATACAGAGGAAACAGCGTGTAAAGAAAACCAGATGTGTCATGTGCCTAAAATAAATGAGAACTTCATAGTGCCACATTTTTAAGAACACACAAATCTAACTTGGTGGTACTGCATGGGTCACATGGGAGAAGACACATAAAATCCACACTCTCTTGGTCTAAAGTATCTGGGTTACATACCCATATTATCTTACTCCGACTCTATCTTCGGACATTTACAAATACAACCATGACTTCATCCAATCTCTCAAGCTGCTAAGAGGAGAATCTTATTGTTAGTAAAAACACCCATAAAAATACTAATAACTTACTTCCATGCATCATCTGTGGAAAGCTTGGAGAGCTGGAAAACATAAAAGGATACTTATTAAAATTTCTTTATTTTCTCAACATGTATTTTAAAACATTACATGAGAAATCCAAATTTAAAAAAAAAACACAGTAACATCTCCAGCACTGGAATCATTTAGGATGAAAGTGATTATAAAATAATTTGCTTACAGAATGAAAACAAAGCAAACAAATGGAAAACACAACAAAATACCAGCAATCAGGTCACTATTAATAAATATTTGATTCTTTTCCTAGGTCAGAAAAACAGATGTGTCTCTAATTCCTGTCCTTTTGTTTTGGCAAATCAGTCAAGATTGTAGAGAGTGACCTCTCCTGGCAGTGCCCCTTTAGCTTCAGGGACATGGCTTGTAAATCCAGTACTCCTAAAAACCATCTGCTTCATGGTGTCTGGAATGATGCCAGTGAGCAAACACTGTCTCCAAGTACAAGGCTTTGGAGTCAGAGCTAACTAGAAGTTGAATTTGTTTGGAGTTTAGTGGTGCCTTCTAGGTAAGGAGGCATTTCTGTGCAGAGCCTACATTCTTGCAGTTGAACTGGTGAGCACAGACATTCCCAGAGAAGAATCCACCAAAGACTGCCCACAGTTACTTAAAACAAACTTACAGCAGCCAATTTCCTAGGCCAGCAGGGCTAGAAGATACTGTTCAAAAACTGAAATTCCTGAAGATGGCAGAGAAGAGAAGGCAAATAGAACATCTGTTATACAGTACTACCCACACGTTCGTTCTCCTCTACACTTTCTTCAAATGGTGCAGGCAATTCTGACATGGTTCAGTCTAGGATTTCCAACTCAAATGGACTCTATGTGAGTGTGTGCTTCTGCGAGAGGTACCAGCCATTTCCTCAGAAGACAGAGTGAGGCACTGGATGACTCCGTTCGGTTTCTTTGATGGGTTTGTGCAACATTTTGTGGGATGGTGTCAGGAAACAAGAGGTGGTTGGTGCAGTGCTCGATACTGACATCCATTCCACTGCTTCCACAGGTGGGACCTAGATGGAGGTCACAGCAGCTGGGCTCAGGTGCCAGGTTCTAAGAATGTAGGCACTCTCAAGTAATAGCCGTGACTATGTGTGGTGCCTTGAATAAGAATGACCCCTGAATGGGCTGGAGAGATGGTTCAGTGGTTAAGAGCACTGACTGCTCTTCCAGAGGACCTGGGTTCAATTCCTAGCATCCACATGGCAGCTCACAACTGTCTTTGATTCCAGTTCCAGGGGACTGGACACCCATGGCAAAACATCAATACACATTAAATATAAAGAATGTCCCCTCTAGGCTCATGTTACAATGTTTGATTCCCAGTTGGACTATTTAGGAAGCATTAGGAAATGTGACCTTGTGGAGTAGGTGTGGCTTTGCTAGAGGAATGTGTGTCACTGGGGATGGCCTTTGGGGTTTCAAAAGCCCACATCAGGCCCAATCTATCATTCTCTGACTGCAACAAGCAGATCAGAAGTGAGCTCTTAGCTACTGCTCCAGTGCCTGTTTGCTTGCTACCACCATGCTTCCTGCCATGATGGACATGGACTCACCCTCTGAAACTGCAAGCAAGTCCCCCAGTTGAATGCTTTCTTTTATAAACTCTGTTGGTCATGGTGTTTCTTTATAACAACAATACTGTTAGCAGTAACTACAACACCAGGTTTCCTTTCTTTGATAAATCCCCCTGTGCAGGTTCCTGTTTTGGAGGAGAAAACATTGAATGGGTTTAGAGCCCAGAGCCCTGTGTCCATCCAGCACTGCCTACCACCAAAGAATTGCTGGTTCTCCAGATAATGATCTTAAATGCATCACTAACCTGGTGTCTGTCTCAGTTTCCTTCTCATTAGATGCTGGAATGATATAATAATTGCTTGTGTCCACTTCATTGGAATAGTGTGAGCTTCAGTGAGATATTCTTTGAGAGGTTTATAAGAAGGAGCTTACTCCAAATGCCAATTAGCTCAGCAAAAGTAGTATCTAGAGGAATCTCCTCCTTTTGCTGTTAGAGATCTTCAGGTTAATGGCACTTGATGCTAAAACTAAACTCAAATAGGGAACAGGGTATTCAATAGGAGGGACAATCTATTTGCCTGTTACTAGTAATAGAGCCCTGTGCATAAATGTCTGCAACCACCCACTGGATTCTGCCACTTTTTAAATGGAGGGTGATAAATTATTCTTCTGAAGCCTAGTCAAGTTGGGGGTGTAGAATTGTATTTTAGACATTTTTCTGTGAACTACCAGTAATGAATCCCTTAGGTAATATGATGCTGAAACTATCATTTGATAACAAAAGGCGATGGTGATGATATAACAATAATATTCTTAGAGACACTTTTAAAAAAGCTGGAGAGATGGCTCAGAGGTTAAGAGCAACGACCACTCTTCCAAAGGTCCTGAGTTCAATCACATGGTGGCTCACAACCATCCCTGATGAGATCTGGTGCCTTCTTCTGATGTGCAGATATACATGGAAGCAGAATGTTGTATACATAATAATAAATAAATAAAATCTTTTTAAAAAGTTGTTATAATTCTCAATAGTATAACCTTCCCTACCCCACCAGGGTGGTGCCTACTTTGGAGGCCATGTTTTCTGAGATATTATTTGGTAAGCCTATTCAAGTTCCTAAGAGGCTGGAAATGATATTGACATTGAAATTCATCTAGAAAGATGAGCATATCAAGAATCAAGACTGAGGGTGAACCACCAGACTCTGAAATCCATGATACAGCCACAGAGGCCATCTGAAGACAAGGAGTGTGGACCACCAGACTCTGAAATCTATGGTACGGCCTCAGTGGTCATCTGAAAACTACTGGCTGAGGGACAGGAAGACAGAGGAGGGAACAGAGCAGTCCAGGAGTTGACTCAAGTGCCTATGATAAACAAGCCACTTTGAATCAGTTTGGAAAAAGAAGGGCTTGTTCAATAAGTGGTGCTGGGACAACTGTAAAGGTTTTTGAAATCCATACTCATTCTGTATTGAAAAATAAATCACATGTGAAGAGATCAATCCGTAGTCTGTATGGCTAAGGCTTTTTTATTTAGATAACACCAGCCAAGCGCAAGCCAAAGTGTGCCAGGGGCAGCAAGGCAGCCAGGCCAGACAGAAGGGAGAAGAGGGTCTCCACATGTGCGTGGTCCCTTAAGAACCGTTTCAGCGTCACCTTAGACTTCCCCTCATCACGCCCTCACGGGCGTGTCCGGCACACCTGTCTGGGCTACTAGGAGGCGGGGCTACAATGTCTCCCTACACACATGTGGATCAAATAATTAAATGTAAGGATGAAACTCTTAAAAGCAATAGAATAAAATGTAGCTAAATATTTTTATACATTGTGTGGTGGGTAAGACATTTAGGAGTATGACACGGAGCCCCAAAACGATAAATAAAGCAAAAGAGCTGATGTTTTCTGAGCACATAAAAATTGAATATATTACAGTTGTCGCTACTGAAAGACAAACTGGGAAAAGCTAAAGAAATATAAACGTACAATATGTTTGTGGAAAGGTGTTCAAACTCACTAATGATAACCATGCATTTTTTTTTTTTTTTTTTTTTTTTAGAAAAAGAGAATTAAGTAAAAACAAGGTCTTCCTGTGAAACATGAGAAGTCAAATGTATGCACTTGCCTCCTCTCATTCACACATGGCCAGGGTGACACCAGAAGGGTTTCCAAATATAAGGAGAAGAGAAGGGGATGTAAGCAACAGTTACATGGTTAAAAACAGATGGATTCTGGGAAAGTAACACAGGGACAGGACACTGAGGGAGGCCAGCACAGGAAGGAACAGAAGCTAGCAGACCATGCCAACACCCTCAAGGGAAGGGGTGGATGGAGGAGTTCCAGGACTTCTGAGGCAGGAGTACACCTGGGATTGATAACCACAGGTTCGGCTCAGAGTCAGTCAAAGGCACCCATGCTGGTACAACAGGAAGAACACAGCCCCTCCAGCTTCCAAGCCTAGCAGGCTTGCAGATCTGGGGTGAGTGGGCACATTTATAATAATTAGGAGCTTTGCACGTGAGCCTCTGTTATGTTCTTGGCCTTGGTTTTGGGAACACAGATCTGCCTACTTGAGTGTTGGTGACCAGACACATCCCTCACATAGAAGATGAGAAGACTGCATTCTGTGGAAACAATCTAACCCAAGAGAAAGGTCCTATAGCGGTGTGCAGTTCTTGTTCACCCTAGCAAGCCAGCCTCCTGCACTGTCTATTGACAGCGGTTCCTGCTGCAAGAGAGTATCCAAAGTTTTGTCATGTGTACACAGTGAACAGCCAAAGGCATACTGTTTGAGACAGAAGGTTCTACACCCATAATGACAAGAATCACACAGAGATACAAACAAAATAAGATAAAGTAACAGAAATAAAACTAAATGGAAGAACTGAATACAAATGGAGAAATTCAAAGAATTTAAGAACTCTTAAGGGAACAAATGTAGGGCAGAAAGCAACAATAGAGAACTTGCGCAATTTCTGGCAGAAAAACTTAACTTACAC